AACCAGGGAAAGGGAACATGTTTGAGGTGTTGGCAGATGTTTGTAACTCGGGGAAGGATTTATTGTGATCGTTGTTCTGCAGTGTATCCTCAAACTCATAAGAGATCGTATTGTTTGACAGTCGGCCCATCTGTATGCGTCACATTCGGGTAAGAGTTGTGCGTGGAGTGGAGGTTGACGTGTAAACAGCCAGCGACGTGTGTTTAGGACCAGAGCAATTGTTGTGGTTACCTGATCCTCACTGTGACTGATGTGTTGAATAAAGCCAAAATGATCATTCCAGCAATATGTTTTATCGTATAACATCGTATATTATATACACCAGAAGGGATTAACCTCACAATCACAAGCCTACTGTGGCCATAGAGATCAGCAACTTGAGTCGTTGTTACCCACCACGTTATGCACAATACGATGGGCTTAAATTAACCACCAGAGTAACGGCATAATGAACCACAAGGCCCCTCTCAGAAAGGTATGGTATCATGTCGAGCTGCAATAGCGCTTCGTACCACATCAAATGCACAAAGCGATTAGATAGAGTAGGTGTCTCTCGTCTTCCGGGTTAGGTTTTGGCGACCAACTCTCTCCGTGTCGGAATTCAAAACTGAATATGGTCGTGTGTTTAGTCCAGTTGATTATGTTCTCAGGGTGCTGAAGCAGTTATGAAGCCAATTGTTGGCATCTTGATTGCATTTTTCCTACCTGATTCTCTGGAATGATGTGTTTGTAGGAGCTTCCGATCGGTTTAGGAAACAGTTGGTCGCATAGTTTACTACGAAACGGAGCATATAAAGCGATAATTTTCCAGTCTAGTTTCTTCAGTTCAGACAGTGGTAGGTGAAATTTAAATAATAGAAGACCTGATTTTTTGCCTCGTTTTAGATAATTACATCTATTACCCCGTCGAAACGTCGTTAGTCTGTGCTTTCGCCTCCCAACATACGACTCACTCGATAGTCTAATGCACCACTGAGCTCGAGGTTGAGGTTGGTGATGATGTTTTCGATGTTTATATCATTGTTACAGCTGTGTACGGGATCTGTAATCTCTGAGCTTTGATCTCTGCCACTGGCAAATCAATCTGATGATGGACAGCTTTGCCTCGCTCCATACCGCACTTGTACTATTAGTATATCAACCCTAGTCCCGGGGCTTACACTACTACGTCCCTTAGGATAAACAATAGATCTTCTGGGTAAGGAATAAAGACTCAGATATGTTCCCCACATAAACAAGGGATAGTGGGCGGTCGGTTTGATTAGATCATCCGTGTGTTTATTTGTGCGGAGGACTCTCGGTAGTAGTAGTAGTAGTAGCAGTGGTGGTCACGGTGACCGAGTTTCCTCGGTACGTAAGTACGTTAGACTAGCTTCAAATCCGACTGAATTGCTAGAGAGTTCATCCATCTCAATACCACATCCTGTTCGAGCTCCAACGCACGGTATTCATAGATCATAGTTCTCAAGCGATTAGCTTTTCACTTATTTAATAAACCGGTATGGTTTCCGACTCTGTGCTGCACTGTGGAATCTGAATGTACTGTTTGATTAAAAATTTCCATCGAACTAATAAGAGCGTTGTTTCCTTTTTTGCAGAAATGCTATCTTTGGTGGAATCACTTGAGTAAGTGACTTGTTACTGGTGCAACAGTGTGTGACTTGTCCTCACTGTGATTCTTACTTTCACACTGTTTCTTCACTTTCGTGCTTAGAACTGGTCTGGTGGACACGCGAACCACTTCACAACGGGATGCCCTGAAGAAACTGGTGGGAGGACTGCAGGATCTGCCTTCAGCACAGATTCAGACAACGGAAGGTAAGATTCTCGCACATTGCGATTCACCATCCTAGTTCCGTTTTCACCGGCTCTCTGTGGCGTGATACGCGTAGAAAGAAGGTAATCCGACAACGACGGTTTTTTGAACACCGTTCTATCTTTTCTTTTGCTGTGCTTGATTTTCGCCCGTTTACGAAGCCAACACCAGCTGGTGACTCCCGATATCGACGAAAATATCAATTAAATGCAGCTCATCGTTAGCAATAGTGATCGCGTGAGTAGGTTTCTGTTAGTTCTCGAGAGGTACTTTGCATTTTAATAGAACTGGGCTCCTACCGTGGACCTGTAAATGCAGATAAATAGTTCTTTACGTCAATCCGTTTCATTGTTGCTGTCGGAACATCAAATGAATTTGATATGGTCNATTTGATATGGTCTCGTTTAATGTAAAACTGAAGAGAACAATGTGTAGGCGCGTTGTTGTCGTGAAAAACGGCTTTGGTAGTTGTGCTCAACAGTAGTCAGATACGTTGGATCAAGATGAATCTGTGGCCAAGTGGTTAAGTCACCAAATTGTCTCCCGGATGTCCCGGGTTCTAACCGCTTCACTGCTGCCCGTCTTCTCTATTCCTGTGATTTCCCAGGCAGACCTTGTATTGCCGCGTCCCTGATAGTTGACTATACATTCAATAGGTGAAAAGGAATCAAAAAGAAAAAATACGTTAACCGTGCCATTCAGAAAAACCAGCTCGCTCTAAACTTTCTACACGTGCATAAACCCCCTTTGTGTCTGGTTTTTGTTGTCATCATATTACTTATTGTTTCCAAGACTGCTTCCAGCCACACCTTCAAAAATCATAACGAAAATTATCATTTTCCGGTACAAGTAATTCATTTTCACAGTTCGTTAACCTTTCCCTACACACCTGAATAATTAATTCACATGTGTTTTTCAGTGACCTTCAAGCAGTAGAAGCCCGGAAGTGTGTCTCCTTGACCAAATGATACGTCGTTGTCACTAGAGTTTATATATCCGTTTGGTGTTGGGTGCTACTCACGTATGTGAGTAGTGTGTTTTGCGAATTAGTGAAACAATCTGCGAAGTAGACAGTACGCTAATACACAGTCTTCTTGGAACGCTGGGTAGAGCACTTCACATTGCAATTCAACCAGCCGCCCGCGCTGGCTTCCCCAATCAGTACTTTTAAGAGTGCACCCTGGTCACAATCCGCGGAACCGCCCATAGAAGCGGAGATCCGAAATGGACTCCAAGCCCTGAAACGCCACAAGGCAGCTGGATCAGGTGGCCTATCACCCGCCCTTTTTAAGGATAGTACAGAAGCTCTCATGGGAGAGCTTATGAGACTGTTCTCGAAGATCTGGGAAACCGAAATTGTATCCTATACATGGGGAGAATCGATTGTCACATCCATCTACGACAAGGGCTGTCGCAACTCCTGTTTCAACCTCAGGGGTGTAAGTCTGATTCCTACAACACCAAAGCTGTTAGCGTCCATTTATTACGCATATTAAGCCCATTTCATGAGAAGCAAATCCGCGGAGAGTAGGCCGGGTTCCGTGCACCGCGTGGTTGCATAGATCAAGTCTTCCCCCCTGCGTCAGCTATTAGAAAACCGCCACGCATACGAACAACAAACTATTAACATGTTTTTGAACCTCAGAGAGACCTTCAACTCCATCGATCGCCCTGCATTGTGAAATTGTTTACGGAGATACGGAGTATCCGAGAAGTATGTTTCAGTTCTAAAAGCGCTCTATCGCCAGACCTCGGGACAGGTTAGGGCCTATGGTGAACTTTTACCCTCATTTCCTGTCACCATTGGGGTACGACAGGGTTGCCCTGTCTCTCCGTTTCTCTTCAACTTTGCCATAGATGATGTCCTACAAAACGCGTTACACAATGTAACGAGCGCTGGCATTGAGCTTCCTCCTGGAGTCAGAGTGGTCGACTTGGAGTGTTCCAATGATATTGCCTTACTAGGTGAAAACGCACCAACGATTCAAGAGTCGTTGAACCGTTTGGCAATCGAGGTTACTCGCTATGGTATGTCATTTGCACCTTCAAAGTGCAGTGTTGTTGCAAGATTGGCAGGAACCAGTTACTTTACTTTAGTTGGATAATAAAACTCTGGAAGTAGTCGAAAGCTTTGTCCACTTCGGGGTTGCATAACGGCAGTCGGAGGAGTAGGCGAGGAGATCTCCCAACGCGTGATCAAAGCTAGATTAGCGTTCGCTAATCTGTGGCATCTCGGGCGCCGGCGTGACATATCTATTTCACTGAAAGGGCGTGTGTATGGCCCAGCGGTTTGCACCGTGCACTATTCACAGACATCGGTCCAGGATTGAAAAAAACGAGGTGGGCAGGCTACGAGTTGTCTCAGAGGGTTAAAGAGATTGTGCTCAGATCTGGCCTCCGTTGAGACTTCCCGACTCCCGTGCTGGGGCCCCAAAGATTCAGATTGTCTTTGGCTGGAGACACTGGCATCGAACCGAAGTTAATGGCGTGAATAAATCATTTCTTGTGTGCAATCCCAAACTAGAAAACAACTCAAAAAAAGTAAACAGACAAAAATTGTTTTTGCTTTCCCTGCTTCTATTCCCATTTTTTTCGTTCACCCATGGTTATTTTGGCAACGTATCGATGAAGACTGGTGTTATATATATATATATATATATATATATATATATATATTCATAATTGAAAAATCCTCCTGCAGTTACTTAATA